TCACTACTACAAAATTATAATTTACCAATGTTAATTCAATTAATACTGAATTTTTTTAACCTGCGTTTAATGTCAATCTTCATTTACACTTTGTTTGTGTGGAAAATGTCAGAATCACAACCACCAGTGCTGCCGTACGTGTGACTGTGTAAATGTGTCTTAAATCTACATTGGCTACTCTTCACGCACACCTGCGACATTCTTGGCAATGTTTTACACTTGCGTAATCATTGTTGCAGAAAATGCACATACATAAACAATAAATTAGAATTCATAACTGTCGGTTTAAGAAACGTCTGCCTCGCTCGGCAGCGCCATCAATACCCTCCTTATCTGCATTTAGTGAATTTTCATCTAGGAACTTTTTAAAATGCTTCATGTACAGCAACTTTAAAAGGATTAGCGAAAAGATAGCAGTGAAATGTAAAAACGAAATTGAAAATCGGTAAGAAATGACGAACAACGACAACGAAAGCAACGAGGCTGATCTGCTTTACAGATTTGTCGGAAAAAATATTTCGCGTATTATTAACAGCGCACTACGCCTTAACTTTCGGCGTTACTCGAAACATTACTCGAAATTATTAGCTCGAAGGAATATTCGTTTTAAATACTCATTAATTACGAAGAAACTACGAGTTCTTCGTATTCTCACTTGTTAGCTAGCATAAGTGAATTTTACTTTACGTTGAAAAGTTATAAAATTTTATTCGCGTATGTTGGTCATTTGAAAATGAACGACTAACTAATGCTGTACATAAAATCATTTCGAATTGTGCAACCACATTGGTGGTTGCAGTTCTTCCTTTTGTGAAATGCATCGTCGATCCCGGAAAGTACTCGAATAGAGAACTCTTCCTCGGCATGACAGACGGAATGTGGGAACGGAACTGACATGGAGTAAACTGTAACGTGAAGGACTCGCGTTTGTCTTTTAAATATTGATTTGTCTGTCGAACGGACGTTATGTGACAACGATGAACGTTTTTCTGATACTTTGCTCCGTTGACGAATATTACGTGAATACGATCAAGTTACGAGTAACCTAGCATAAGTACGTAAATCCACTTTTAACTTTCGAAACGTCAAACGTAGTCTACTACTATCTACGACGCAAACATCAACCTTGCCGGGATGTTAAAATGCTCATTGTACGGCATGTATCTTGATCGAGATATTTCGAACATTTCACACAATAGACAGCTAAAAGATGAGTCATACCAAGGGATATCCCAATTCTTGTCCGTACTACTCCAACGTGGGTTTAAATTCCTTTGTAGAGTGATATCAAGACATATTGTTTTTTCATATCATATATCATTTGACAGTATTAAATACTTTTCGTAAGAATATCTTTCTCCCTTGATTCTTTTTATTTCTTGTACATTCTTACGATCTCGCTTTCCGAAAGATACTTCATGCGCTGTAGAACCGGAGGTTAAATACTGAAAATTCGTAAAATTTAAATCGTGTTCCTTGAAAAAAATATTTTTTTCCAATTTTTATTCGAACAATGCAACAATATCGAGAGATTTTGATAAGTAAATACAACGATATTATTTGAATCACAGGGGAATGATTATTATCAGATACTATTGCGTAAATGTAAGTCTAGACTGTTCTGACATCAATTTTCTTCAAATGTACTTTCAGTTTTTTATTCATAATGGACCATATGAAAAGTACAAGCACGTATATAAACATGAAGATCATGAGACATTGGCGTATCGCCCGTAATTGCTATTTTCAGGTAAGGATTTTCATATCATTTAAGAATCATCTTTATTCTTACCTTGTAAATTAGTGTTTTTACAAAATTAAATGGTATTCCTTAAAGATTCAAATTTTATTACAATACAGGGGACAATGTGGAACTTCCAAAAATTTTGGCTATTATAAACCTATTAGCAAACAAATATATTAAAGGTATTGAGATGGACTCTCCACCGTCATGTTCACTAAGCGCTACTGGACCTCTCAGTGATCTTGGTAGCAGTGGAATTGGAGGGTCCATTTCTAGCGATTCAGTTCGTGCGCATCTTGCAATCGAGGTATTATTTATTACAAATGTAATATTAATATGTAGACAAAATTCAAGTCTGTGTTAAAATTATACAACTTTCTTAATTGGATACATAATTCACTTTTTTTTTAGATGCAAGAAAGCGATATAGAAAGTAAATCTTTGTCGCAAGATTCTTTTGATTATTCAGATGGTATGTGTGGTGAAAATTTTAATACATTGAAAAAAGGACCAGGATGGACTGATGCTGATGGAAAACTAGAAGTTGAAGTGGTTGATGTAGCTATTAAACCTCCACCAGAGTTTCAAGATAGCCCTTCTCCTCCTAACTCTGAATCTTCGTCTGCACCGATTCTTAGCTATGCACGATTAATGAGACAAAAAGTTCCGCAATTAATAGATGAATACGCTGAAAATTTAGTACAGACAACAATTGAAGAAGCATTAATAATATCTTGTAGAATATCATGGCCCGAAGGAAGAATAGCGCCCGCGACAAATCATGTACCGGTGGTAACACGTAATGTATACAATCCGAAACGTCTTTGGGCAACAGATTTGTTGACACCTTCGTCGTGCCAGGGGGCTACCACTCTGATTACTCCGTATAATACTTTGAATCGTCCAAATTCACGATGTTCTCTAGCCTCTTCTCGTTTGTCCAGTTCTCATAATTCAATAAATACCTCAGGACTGAGTCATAAAGCGGATGACAGCAGTTTTATCACTTCTGCTATGTCACATGACGTTTTAACGACCAGTGAGATAAGTGATATGTACAATGTGCCCTTCGATTCTGACATTTATACTGTACCAATAGATGTAGTTAGACCTTTGCATGATCTTAGAACACCGCAAAGGCCTAAACGTCATAGACATCATCGAAAAAGAAGAAGAAACGTATCCGCAAGTTCTCAGAGTGAACTAGAAGCCCATATTCAACAGGCAAGGCATTACTGTGGAAAACCTCGGGCTATTACCCATGTTATCAAATCACAGAGACTATTATCCGATGTATGTTGCAATGAAACCGGAAACGGAAAGCGTCATAGTGTTCCAGGTACATCTGGCCGACATACATCTCGAACATCCAATGGTCACATGCATAATATCGGTGAACCAATTCATATGACTTTACATGAAGTGCGTCAATATTTGCAAACACTATACTCAAGCTCCAGTGATTCTAGTGAAAATAAAATTAAACGCGATAATAAAGCCCCGATAAGTCATACACCTGTACACCTTGCAATGCCAAAAGGTATTAGTGTAAATAATAACAATAGGTATAGTAATCCGCATACAGATTCAGCGATGGATACTCCGATTTCAAACAAAAATAGCAATGGACTGATTCACAATAACAATAATAATAATAATAATAATAACAATAACAATAATAATGGTAATCTTAAGAAACATAAAAAAAATTCGTTCGTTAGTATTAAACATAAAAAAGTAAAAGAGGAACCACATAAGGAAAAGGTTGATTCTGAAAGAGAGAAGATTAAGAAGAGTCAGCGGAATTTCTCGTTAAATTTGAAACAAACACTTTGCAATATCTTTAGATTCAGGCGTTTGGGTTCTCCGGACCACTTCGTAGAAAAAAGAAATAGCATTGTACAGGGTGAAATTGTAGAAGAGGAAGAGGGTGTTGATTCTGACCAACATGCTAATAATAATAATACTACCTCAGAGGTAGATTCCTCTGTACAAAAGCTACCTTTTTTTAAGCGTGCATTACCACCGTTGCCGAAAAGCAATGGACATGTAGGATGCGTGGAGCAAGCGGAAGATGCGCTTACAACGATGGTATCAAAATGTGAAAGTCCAACTTCTATACCACCACAAATGCCTCCACCTGCGCCAAAAGTCGAGGATGAACCAGCAGAGGATACCAGTATGGATTTTGCTGCTAGTATTGAGAAAGTAAAAGATGTATGTAATTCAGAATTCAATTTTCAATATTCATATGTATCTGATATGAATATTGTAATAAATGTGTACTCTATTGAAACAGTATGGATGGTATTGGGGCCCAATATCCGGTGAAGCTGCAGAGAAAATACTGTCCAATGAACCAGATGGGTCATTCATTGTAAGAGACAGTAGTGATGATCATTATATTTTCTCCTTATCATTTAGACTTAACAGTTGTGTGCGGCACGTAAGAATAGAGCATGATCAGGGTAAGTTTTGTGTTTCTAATCGTTCTTATTCTTTCAAACAATTCTAATATTTCGCTTGTTACGTTCGCAGGTAATTTCAGCTTTGGAAGTTGCACAAAATTCAAATCCCACACAATTGTCGACTTCATTGAGAATGCAGTAGAACATTCGCGTAGTGGACGATACTTGTTTTTTCTTCATCGGCGGCCAGTGTTAGGTCCAATGCGTGTGCAACTTCTTCATCCAGTGTCAAGATTCAAACAGGTTCAAAGCTTGCAGCATACATGCAGATTTGTTATTTTGAAAATGGTACGCAGGGATCTTATTCCAACTCTACCTCTGCCTCGGCGGCTCATTGATTATCTGAGCACGCCGCATTACTACAGTGAGCAATTAGCTGAACAAGATGACAGAGCCGAATCTCCTGTTAGTTCTTCAACTGGTGAATTAGAGAAGATTTGTTTCACACCACAAGGCCTATCGTGAGGTACAAATATATAATCTTTTGTTCTTCAGTTTTGTGAAATACTTGCCAAATGTTTAGTATTTATGGTTTAACATTTAAGGTTTTATACACTTTTCTTTTATATCGTTACTTTAACACAATATTATGATTAAATATGAAAATAGCTGATTTTTACATACATTGTACATTGGTTTAAATTTTAAACAGAATATTTAACATCTTTTTGAAAAGAAGGGTAATCCGTTCCACGCAGCTCGTATATAGAATTATAAACGCTATAGCTAATTGCATAAAAGTACTAAAAAAAAAAAAAAGAATGCTATAAGGCAAAAAGTAAAATTAATTCCGAGATAATTTTCAATCAGGATTCATGTTCGCGTAATTCCATTAAAAGTGCACAATTAAATTGTGGTATTTGATTCTTGAATTGATGATTTTAAAAAAGCACTTACAGAATAATTTCAACAAATTCTCTGTATCAATTTTAACTTAAGTTCCTCCTCGTTATTTTTAAATAAATTATAGTTCTACATGATGCAATGAATGTATAATATTCATGTATAATGATGCAAAGCAGTGATGGAATAACTCCTTCTGATGTGCCATATACCTTACACTGCTCTTTCTAATCAGGCATTAAAATCACAATACTTTCATTCATTGATTTTTGGTTGATGAATTATGTTTTTGCCAGAGATTATTCAATTATGCATTTTATTATTTGCTGTACAATTCTCAAATAATATGCTTTAATACAAATGAGAAGAATACGAATATAGTTCATTTACATCCTACATTTGACATTCCATTTGATGGAATGGATGATCAATATAGAGTCAATAAATCATTTCTAAATATGATGCACATACAAGCAATTATGAAAAAGGGCTGTAGGCTAATGTTATATTAACGTATAATCTGGCATATATAAAAATCAGTTATTATGTCAGTCAACTGTAGAAAATTTCAATATTTATCAGTTCAACATGCTGTTTTATGTTTAGAAGTAGCTGCCACAGACTGATTAACTTAGACGAAATATTCAACGAACTAATGGAATCATAATGCAGTATAAATATTTTCATTCAAGCATCAATCGTATTTTCCCAAAAATTATTAACATAATCATTTTCAAGGATAATCTTTGGATGGAACACTGTTTCATTTTGCATTGTTTTATAATGTAAATATTTTTATGTATATTGCTTGATTTCATAGAATAATTAAATTGCCAGAAGTTTATGAATGCTTGGCATATTAGATATATACATATTGTGATTTTTTAAGTCTATAAAGAATAATTAATGTATGATGTGCAATTTTTTAAATGTATCACAGTTTTTTCCATTCTTTATAGCCAATTTTAAAATAAGATTTAATAAAAAAAAATTTACCTTGTGGGGTAAAAAAATTCTTTGTTAAAACTGATTAGTGACTGGTGCTATATAAAATTATAAATTATAGAATTCTGATTCCTTAAATTATGCAGTTGAATCAAGGTAATCGAAGTCACTGTTTATTCTTGTGCTCAGATAAACTTAACAAGATTACATCGTGCAATGCACTTAATCGAATTTAGTTATATTATATATTTAATTTTACGTAACTAATGCTTAGTTTTATCTATATAGATGATTTTTACAATTCGGATAATGTTCCGAAAACTTACATTCTCGCGTTATATTTTCTTGGCAATCATTATATAAATTTTAGATTATAACATAATACTAAGGAGGTGCATAATCCCATCTTCAGAAACAGAGACATTACTTTGATAAATTTTGTATTCTGTAATGTTATACAGAGCTCACTATGAAGCATTGATATAAAGATAGATTTTTCAAGGAAGGAGAAAGTTTTTATACAAAATGTGTACTGATTGTTACTAGACAGATTAATTAACAAATTTTTGTTTTATTCTATCTTTAAATTGCTTTTCCTGTGCAGCTTCATGAATCATGGAATAGCAAGGGCCACATATACATATTGCTCAGAATTTTTTGGTTGCACTTTCGTGAACTTTGCAGTACTACACAAACAAATTTTATACTCAATATTCACGTGGTAGATTTTGCAATACAATTACTATTACCAGATTGTCTGAAAAGACTATGTTTAAGGATAAATCTAAACATATGTGAAGCATGTGCGTATAATTAACGGTTAAAGGCACCATGATACCTCAGCCACAGAGGGGGGAGGTATATAGAGCAGAATTAGTACCATTTTATAAGAAATGTATTTTAATTAATATAAGTTGCACATATGTATTCTTGTGAAGAAATTAGCATTATTGAAAAGTATCAATGCTTTATTTAATTATGTTCTACTACTACTACTAACATCAATATTAAGAAAGAAATACAAAAATTCTATGCCAAGTGTTATTGAGTAATAAATATATTTAAAAAATGTTTCTTTCATGTGATTATGTGCAAGTAAGTCTGTCATTGAATAACAGTTTTGTATTTTTATAATGCCTTCTAAAAGAGAGCATGTAGAAAGTATTGAATTTTATTCTACACTTTTGATACTAAAATGTGATATTATTGTTAATGTTAAAGTTTGTAATTAATTGTACATTTAAAGAGATACCAGTGTTGTTTAGGGGTATTAAAATTGTTGAAAGTAAGTACTCTTTTAAACAGGATATCTCTAAATCTGATTATGAAAATATATAGTTCAATTTAATATTTAATTAGAAAACTATAATAATTAATACTTTACAAGAGATGCACTTGGCATAGAGTAGTAATTTATTTCTTACATGCCAAAGTTTATAATTGTATTCAAAGTACAACATTGCTTTATCAATTCAAAAATTTCAAAGTAAAAGTAATTGCATATATTTTGGCTCTTAATTCACTTTCAATATACAATACGGTTTATTAAATTGTATAAAAATAAGGAAATCCATGGAAGAAAAATACTATAATACAAAAAGGAATTTTTAAAATTAGTATCAGGAATACATTTGTGAAATGCAACATTGTACTTTGACTATAATATATTGATACATCATTTTTTATTATTGTTTATTACACATAATTGACAAGTGCTAGTCATAAACATTGCGTTTTAAGTTGGAGTTCAGTATTGTTTACTAATAAATATCGATTTACTTCTGAATACTTGCATTTATTTTTTGTGTCTTTTTCAAAGATATAATCCAAACATAATTTTAATAGAAGAATGTTCTAAAAATATAAAAGCTCTTTGTTGTTATTAACAGTTTAATAAGAGTTAACAGTTAATCTTCAACTATAATTCTATATTCTTTAATTTACTTACTCTAGTCTAATATAATTTATCACCAAGTTCGATGGTTATTAGAGTGAGGGATGCATGATAATCAGAAACTTATTATAAATCTTTTAATTTTGTAAATATTTAAGGTAATACAAAATATGCTTTCAAATATGCACAACAACAGGAGTGTGGATGATTCTTTGAAATTTTAAGATAAGTGTACAACACTATAAAGAAAATGAAACATGAGTGAAAGGTACCTTTGTTTACTTTTATGATAAACCAATTATTTTAAGTCAAAATTCAAGAAAATATGCGATTTTTATAAACCGTTTCTACATATAAGTTCGTATAATTTCTAACAATAACAGTGATTTTACTATAAATTTCAAATATACTCCAAAAGTATTTGTAATATATTCATCTAAAATGTTACTCTAGTTTCATTTTTGCATTTCTTATAAGCAATGTGACTCTTTCCAAACAACAAATATTTTTAAACGTTATAATAAAATGATTTAGCAAAGAATGGTTTATTAATGAATACTTAGTACTATTTTCGTAATTGTAATTCAAATAATTTGCACAATTCAAATTTTTCATACCTATGAGCACAAGAAATTTTTTTCCTTAGTTTATTACAGTCAAGGGTACTCTAAGTGTAAACAAATGCGTATGTATTTGATTACCATGTTTGTACTGCAATGTTGAAAATAAAATGCATTTTTTGAGACTAATATACTTAGTAATCATTTTCTTTTAATTCAGTATTTCTATTGCTAATATACATAACTGTGAAATGTGTATTTGCAAGCAAATAACATTACATTTAAATAAAATTGAATTACTTTAAACACAATATATATTTTACACTGAATTGTATGACATTTTAATTACAATTTTTTTTTTTAATTAAATATTAAACATTTTAAGGTGGAATACCAAGAGTTTTCCTAACTAGTTTTTGAGCGATTCTTTCAAATTCTAAGCGATCTTCTCTCCACATCTTAGCAGCATCAACATTTGCTCCACTTTCATCATTTGGCTCTGCTAACATACTTACCACACTTAACAATATTTTTTCTACACTTTGAACTGGACTCCATCTTTCTGCACTACTTTCATAGCCCATGGGGTCATCACCAGGTGCATGTAATATACTTATACATACTCTTCCATCTGTATAAACTGAATAAGAAGTAAATTTTTATAGATTTTTAAAAACCAATGAGGAATTAAGATAGCAAGATTTCAAGCTTCTCATTAAAAAATATCTTACTATTCGGATGAAACATCTCACAAGTGAATTGCATCTTTGGTGGACTTAATGGGTAATCTGGGGGAAATATCAGCTTTGCTGGAAATACACCACCTTCAAAACATGTTCCTTCTGGTCCACTGTAAACAAATATAAAAATCCAAATTCTAAGAAATTTTGTATTAAACATATGTTACATGCTGTAAGACTTTAACCTGTAATCATGCAACTTTCAATAAAAAATAGGCATATAAAATGGGTACCCTAATATACATATAATGCACGAACAAGAAGCAAATTTGGTAAGGTCAACATAAAATGGAGAATATAACATTTGCGTTTTAAGTACGTACGTGATTAAAGCTTCCCATTCGAAAAAATTCTCCTCATTTATTGGGCCAGCGATAATGCCTTCGGGTGGATTTAAGGTTAACTCTGCAAGTTACGCAGTACTTATTACATTATCGTTTGAAATCGAACAGAAAGAAAAGTAAAGAAGAAATTGGAATATAAAGCTTCTAGTGAAATGCGAAGTGCAAAACTAAATGTAATTCTCACGTTTGTACTCTGCCATTAATCGTCTTAGCGCAGAACCCGCCATTGTTTTGGTTGTGGGGGTTAACGACGGCAATTTATTGAAACGTCAAAAGTTGTACATTAGGTTAAAGTGACGAAACCAGTCATTGACATATTTATATATACTTTTCTTAACGAAATTAAAGGAATAGCTTGTTTCTGCTAACTTTTACACTGTATTTAACCCGAGTAATGTCAATTCAAAGTTTCAAATGGCGACGGAGGAGCATAAATATTTAGCAGATATTATAAAAAATACACATGCCACGTTGCGAGAAGAGGCACAAAATTATGGACCTGAGATTGCGTGGAAACAACATATAAGTCGCAAAGATATTTTGCAGGTTCGAATATTTTTCGAATGTTAAAATAATGGAAAGGTATTGTTATTTCCTAAATATTTAAAAATAATTTTATCAATCTCTGTTTTAGAAATATGCCTCCTCTATGCATAAATTGGCAACAACATGTTGGATGGAAAACAATTTGAATATAAAAAATTCAACATACTCTAGAATAGAATGGATTAAATTTCATTGTGAAGATTATTTTTTTAATGGTGGAAGACAAAAATATGACATGAGGGAAAAGGATATTAAACTGAAAATAGACACAAATTTTGTAGAAACTCAAGTTGTTACACATTGTAATTTAAATACTGAACATAAGAAAGATCACATATCAAATCATTGTCATAACAGCCTTGAAAAACTAACTAAAAAGATATCATTATTAGATGTAGGAAGTTGCTATAATCCATTTGGGGCCTCAGATATGTTTGAAGTAACTCCAATAGATTTATATGGTATACCAGATAAAGTTTTATGTTGTGATTTTTTAAATGTTCAAATTGGAGAAGAAAAAGTGCTTTCCAATGATAGCCAAGAAGTTTTGCAATTGCCTGAAAACTCTTTTAATGCAGTTGTATTTTCTTTATTTTTGGAATATTTACCCTGTCCAAAACAAAGATACAGTTGCTGCAAAAAAGCCTATGATTTGTTGCAAACTGGTGGAATACTTTTTATCATAAGTCCTGACTCCAAGCATGTTAGTGCAAATGCTAAAATCATGAAGTCATGGAGATATGTACTAAGTAAATTAGGATTTATGAGAATAAAATATGAAAAGCTACGACATATGCATTGTTTAGTGTTCAGAAAATGCGTATTCAAACATGTTGCATCAAGATGGGCGGATTTGCAGGAACTGCCCCAAGATGATGTTTTGTATATAGATAGTACTTCGATTTATATTCCACAAGATTTTCGAAGTATGTCTAGTGAGAATGAACAACGCGAAAAAGAAGAATACGATTTGAACGAACTAATGTCTATGTTTAACGAACTACCTTTTGAACAATTGTGACGATCAAAGAGAAATTATTCGTTGTAAAATATAGATTTTTTAAAAAGTTGAAAAAAATGTTGCATTCAACAACAGATATGAATTTTCTTTAACCTACTTTTCGTTATTATAATTTTGGCGGAAAAAACATTTCAAGAAGCCATTTTCTTATTATGCGACACGTAGGGACATTTATCAATTTCATATTAATTCCTAGAATCGTCATCCCTTTTTCACGCCATCTTGAGTATTCCTTTCTTATTTCTTTCCGTTGGTCGTGCACGTGGTGAGTCTATTTTTGCTGCTTACAACATTTATATATTATAGTTTTTACTAATTGTAACTTTCAATAAGATGAATTAATAAATTATTAAGTTAAGAATAATTAAAGAAAGTGATAATATGGGCAGGAAGTGTTTTATCTTCATTAATAACTGTATAGGTTAACATGCATCTGCCAAATTTCATCTGCGTAAATGATATAATTTAATACACGTTTTAAACATCTTCCTGTGCAATTCTTTCAGACCATTCAACATGTCGTCCCATTTAAATTGGATGATTATTCGTAATAACAATGCGTTTCTCTTAAAGAAACGCAACATTAACAAGCCTTTTTCTACGGTTTGTATTACGTTTTACTTATTCATCGTTAATCATTTTCGCAGTGATTTATATATTAACTTGTAATATAAAATTTCAGGAACCTAACAATTTAACCAATTTAAGTAGTTACCGTTACTCGGGTTTGATTCAGAAGAAAAGTGTTGGTGTTGTTGATACCCCTGATAAAAAAGGATTTACAGTAGTGTATAAAAAAACTAAATCAGCAAAGAAACCTGCAAAGACTACAGTTAGATGTACATTAAAGTCTGGAGCTCGCCGTTCTTTATACAAATTAAAGAGATTGCTTACAAAGAACAGATATCGTGTAGATTTGACAAAGGTAACTAGATCTAGGAAAAGTACCATGTGGAGCTCAGGAGTTTGCCACCGAGACACAGGGACAAACTCCTGAGCTCTACACATTATGTTTAAAGTATATTTTTTAACATTTTTCAATATAAAACCCATTACTTTTAGGTTGCATTACGTCGCGCCAGCGCCGTATTGCGTTCCCAAAAGCCTTTACCTGCTAAGAAGACCCGCACAACCAAAAAGGCTGATTAATTTGTATACATTAATAAATATATGTTTTAATGTAAATTTACAAGTATGGTATATACTGCAAAGAAGATTTGTTAGTAATTAATTAGTACATTTTACTTGAAGTTATCTACAGTTATTATTTTTATAAAAAAGGGAAAATATGTATTCAAATTTTAATTGTAACATTTCTTCTTTGCAGTCATGACCAGTCTATTTATTTTAACAATTGTATTGAAAAAGATTGTGTGGATAAATATATTCATGCAGAAGGTGAGTTATTCAATATATATATGATTCATTTAATGATGTACTTAAATAATTTTATTTTTATCATTTTCAGGGTTAGCAAATGCATATTAGGAAGTCATTTTTAAGCAAGTGAGTTAGTTACATTAATTTTGTTATATTGATGATTTAGATAGATTTAGCATATGATGATACTTTTAACCACCAAGATCTCTGATTGCCATGATTAAATTTTGTATTTGCTATCTGAAATATAGTACATTATGATTATTATTTTGATGTAAGCATAAATAATAATTTTATTAATAACAATAATATTTACAGGTTCAAATGAAGGACAGGGTTATTTCATTGCACTTTGCAAAATGTAAGTACAGTTTGTAAATATAGGCTTAATTAGCTTTTTCTAACTCATGATGAAAATATTAACCACCAAGATCTATGAATGCCGTGATTAGTCAGAGTATTTGCTAACTGAAACCAGTAAATAAAAATATTTTCTTAAAGAAAGTAAAGTGTAATTGTTAATAAAGAAACATTATTTCAGATTCAAGGAACAATATCTATGGAAGGATATTCTAAGGAAGAGTGAGTATCAAGTACTACTACTTAGCCTGTGTATTATCAATATGTTCATGATGAAATAGTAAATCACCGAGATCTATGAATGCCATGATTAGTCAAAGTATTTGCTAACTGAAACCAGTAAATAAAAATATTTTCTTAAAGAAAGTAAAGTGTAATTACTAATAAAGAAATATTATTTCAGATTCAAGGAATAATGGAAGGATATTCTAAGAAAGAGTGAGTATAAAGTACTAATATTTAGCTTGTATATTATTAATATGTTCATGATGAAAATATTAACCATCAAGATCTATGAATGCCATGATTAATCAAAGTATTTGCTAGTCTGATTAATTCATAAAAAAATAATTGTCTAAAAAATAAAAAAAACATTTAATAATATTTCTTTCTTTATGTATTTCTAGATGTCTTTGAATACGAAAACGAAGTGAATGCTTGATAAAAAAAAAAAAGGTAATTAGTCTCATAAAAAAAAATGAATCTGTTCTCTCTTTTACTATGTTTCACTCACCAAGAGATCGACGAATGCCATGAATTTAAATTTGCTACTTCTGAGAGTATCATATTTTACTTCATTATTATGTTTGTGCAAGAACAGTGGTAAAAACATTTTTGTTTGTACAGGGTAATGACTTTTCAAGGATGGATTCTTTAGGACTGGAATTGGAATGCTCTGAATAAAAACAAAATAATTATATGTACATTGTATACACTTTTTAATAAAAATATTTATGACAATACATGGGGTACATTATTTTCCTAAAATTGTTCATATGTAATACTTTCAATATTTTGTAATAAAATAAAATCAGAATGCCGTATTTTTTTACTTATTTCATTCTTAAGTGCACCGTGTCTTTAAATTCTCCGACGCATATTTATACAGTAGTTTACTTGAGTTTTGCGAAAACGCGATTGCATAAGAATGTGTGCTAATGTGAATTTACACAAGTAATGAGAAGTTCTCAGTACTGAACACGATTTTCTGGCATCTGTGTCGCAAGTTCTATGGCCCAAAGGTATCCTTTACTCATAGAGAGACAGCTCACCTTACACGCAGCATTAGCTTTGTTGTAAACACGATGTCGTGTTCAGAGTGGTACAGTATCCAATCCTCTATGAAATTGCACACTTAGAGATTTCGGTATATTCCCCCGGCTAGAGATACGATACGACGAGCATCAACGAGATTATAGCAGTCCTACATTAGGTTAACAGCCCTTTTGCAGTTTCGGCCGAGTACTCATTTCGTCATCGTAGCTTGACGATTACGCCCGAAAAAATATTGCGGTTTCGCGAGTAGCAGTTTTTATGAACACACTGGTAAATACGTATGCGCACGAGATGAATTTACCTTCTAGAAGAATTTGAAAGGAGGGAGAAAAGCAAGAAAATGAATTATTAAGTTAATCATTCTTCATTTTTTTCTCTGACATTTGCAAAATTATATAAAAACGTAAAATAAATTAAACGCATGAAAAATGTAAAACCTAGAAATAACGAAAGATATCAAAGGAAGTAATGTTCGTTGTGAAATAAAGTTTAATACTTGGAGATTCGGAGAACATCTAATTTCTTCGAATTGTAAGTAAAATCGCAGTTCGTTTAGCTGCGCGATTCTTAATTCAACTTGTACTTAATTTTTAATGAAATACTTTCGCCTTTTTTACGAGCAGCTGTGCTACTGAAGCGATGTTTCGCTAATACGAATTAACGAACTTCAATGCTACAATTTGATATTACCGACGATGGTTATGACGTACGTATACGCTAACAAGACAATTTTATATCGGTCCATACATTTTCATTCGCTGCATCAATGTTTTATTTCATTCAAGAGGATTACGACCATTTTAGCTTTATCGATTGTGCGTTTATCAGAATCCGTTTATATTCGCAAATCGAAATTATTTTTTAATTGTTAGAATTTCTCTGAAAATACTCTATACGTAAAATCCGTGGCTTTTTAGCATTGCAACAGTCTTTTAGTGTAATTTACATTAGTAAGAGAATCAGGTTAAATATAATGCACAGATTGTTAGTTTTCTTTTGATATTCAATTATACTTATTTCTTGCAAGCATTTATAGCGTATAAAGAAAAGAAGAAACGACGAGTTGATTGAATTTCTACCTTGAATTTCTTGTTCAGTTAGGTAACTACTTTACCTACAAAGTTACTCTGGTTGTCACAGTTTCATTATATTTGAATGAAAATTTCCAGAGAAACAATTTAGCTGGCAATAACATTAAGATTGTTGAAATTTAATTTTCACCACGATTCGTTGGAATTTCTTCTTCTTTAAAACAATCCTCCTACTAAAATGTTCCTACTAAAAAGGAAAAGTTAAATTTTTTAAATGAAATTTTTCTAGGTTAGTACAAGTAAATTCTCAGACGCAATTAACGACTCGAATTCTTTTTCTTTCCCACTTTCAATAATCAAAGGTAATTCAAGATTAGCAAGGTGATCTTTCCTTTGAAATATCCTCGGAACTTGTTTCGTTCTTTTAAAACTGACAAAGATTCTTCTTTGTCTCTATATTCGCAAAATGTAAAGTACGGTTTTATCGAAAACATAAGAATTCGGAAGTTTCTAGAAGGGGACACTGAAATCCCCCTCCACCCTGTCAGGGTTCGTATAATTTTCACAAAAGGCTGGAATATTTCCACGAAGAATTTCAATTCCGTCAACCCGTGGTGGCCTGTGCATGTTTAATACTTATTCAATATCAGCTTAATATTACATCGTGGTATTAGCATTTTATTAATGTTGGTCACGAACGAAAGTCGAGCCCCTTTGTTCGAGATTTCTTGAAAAAAATAGTTTCCACAGTTTGTACGCATTAGCGTTCATGTTTTATTAAAGAAATCCTCTCCTACATTTTCGTCGTTAATCGAATTCGTTTACAGACTAATAGCTAAACGCATAGGCAATCCTTGAAGGAAATTAATGCCTGTCACATGGAGTACATACCAAGAGCGTCACGATCGAACGTTAACTGAGAGGTTATGATCTAAGGCTCTCGATCAACCTTGTAAACAAGCTATCGACAATGTCTCGTTGCATAATCGAGATGAATCCGAGATACATACTTGGAACAATCGTTCGTGGTAATAAACTGTTGATCAATCAAAGTAAGTGTATACATACTTTGCACGCGTAAAGTGTGCCTAAAAGTGATTTCTATTATCTTTCAATCCCGTAATAGGGCAGATTTAGCTGGAGGCTCGAGAAAGTTCGAACGAGAGATCGTATCACGTCTTTTCCTTTTTTCTTTCTCGCTCCCCTAAAGATGAGACACCACTTTTCATAATACGAGGAAGGAACTCCATCGTTTTTCCGACGAGGAGAGAGAGCGCGCGCGAGCGTGCCTCGATCGATTTTCTTAACCGTCTTTTCTCCCGTGCCTTGAAGCTGCTCTCGGCCGCAAAAGAAAGAAAATAAGGCTGCAATGACAGAAGGTTTCACGGTGGGGCAGACACTGCTGCCTGCCTGCCTGCCACGAGCACTTCCAACCTTCTACCCTATAGCAAAGCAAGTAACCGGATCGTGAGAGCGACTGAGACGGATATACAGCGCGCTCACGCGTCAGACAGAGACGAAAGAGGAAGACGGGGGGAAGGAAGGTGTGTATGAGAAAGAAGAGTGAGTGGGAGTGGGAGAGAGAACTCGACGAAATGACGAAAAGAAGGAAAGAGGGAGGAGGGGAGAACGATAGAGAGAGACATAGAGGAGATAAAGAAAGTGTGAAGGAAAGGTGAAATGAAAGGAACGAAAGAAAGAAGAGTACAAACGATGATGTAAGTAGTCGGTGAGACGACAGAAAGAGGGGCGGGGAGGGGGAAAGGGGGCAAGAGTCAGAGGAAGGAAGGAAGAATGAAAAAAGGAAGGAAAAGAAGGAGAGGTTAGGCGGTCCTCTCTCGCGGAGACGAGGAAAAAGGGAAGGATTCATGAATAATGCAGGAGTGAAAGCCGGCTGAAACAATTGCTGGGCGTCGCCATACTCCTGAAATTACATCATCAGATTTTCCGCGAAATTAAAACATTATATATTCCACGCTCAGGTCTCCTTGCTACGGCCACTCGTCTTCTTCCCTTGGACATTATGCTTCTAGAGTCCCTACCTAACAGCGAGCGGGACAAAAATCGCCGATTATACGTTCACGCGATGAGACTGCAGTATTA